CCAGTCGCCGCCGCCGCCGCCGGCTTCCTCCGCGAAGGCGATCGCGATCGCGATGGACGAGGAGGAGGAGATCTTGAAGGCGCTGGAACAGGATAACAAGGAGAGCAAGAAGTTTGTTGACGGATGGGATGAGAGGATGATGGAGACTTATAAGTTGATGAAGCAGGTTAGGGAGCCGGGGGCGAGAGGAGAGTACTTGAAGGATTCGGAGAAGGCGGAGATGTATAGGTTGTATAAGGAGAATCCGGAGGTGAACACCGTGGAGAAGCTGGCGAAGGATTATAGGGTCATGAGGCAGAGGGTTCATGCCATTCTGTGGTTGAAGGAGATGGAGGAGGAGGAGGAGAAGAGGATCGGGAAGCCGCTGGATGATTCCGTTGAGATCTTGCTCGATAATTTTCCGGAGTAAGAAAGATCTTTGCTTCTTTTTTTTATAACTTCACATGCTTTGAATTGGATTGTTTTGATTAATTGTTTGATATATAGTTTCAGTTGAGTTAAGAGGCGGAAAAAATGAATTGGGTAAGAACAACCAAACGAAGCAGTAAACTGTACCAGAGAAACATAACAGACAATATGGTGAAAAATATACATCAATTGCTGATATATGGATGAAAATCGTAATGGTGGTGACATTTTTAACCGGCAGGATTGTGAAGGGAACAAGAAGCCGGGTAGTTGGTGAAAAGAAAAAGGATGCGGAACCCTCGAGTTCTATATGTTTTTGCCACATCAGTAAAATGCTATCCTTTACTCAGAATATCGGATAGGCTTGGAATCAATTTACAATATTGGGTACTGATTTTGTGTGATCCTTTGAGAGTAACTGATAGGAACATGGGAGGTTAAAAAGTAAGCCTTGAGAGGCTTAACGGGTGAAAAGTATAGGACTAGGAGGCAGAGTACATGTGGCTTTAAAGAAAAAACAATAGAAAGAAGAGAACATGAAACTTAGGACACCGGTGGGTTGTTTGCTTTAGGTGTTACTTAATTATCCCCAAGGAAGATAATATAATTATTCATTTTGGTTTTGTTTTCTTCAAATTCTTTTCATTTATTTTTCTGCAATTTTATTATGATGAAAGGCTGCAACTTAAGCTTTGTGGACTACAAAGTAAACGATCAGGTAGTTTTGTTGTATGAGCAGATAAAAGCTTGAAGAACATAACAATCAGAGAAGAGTACTACTCATGCTACCGGGTTTAGAAGAAATGAAAAAAATAAAGATTGGGTAAAGAGTAAATGGAGGATAAAAAATGCATGTTATGACTGGAGTGAGAGGAAAATAGGCAATCTTAAGTTTACAGGTGACAGAATCATCTGTTGGAAACTATACTTGTTTTGATATTAACTATGAGAGAATAAATGTTGGGCTGATCTTCATAAGGCCCAAACTTGCCTATGCTAATATGCAAGAAAGAGGAAGAAGGAAGGTGAAGTGAGAAAATGTGAAGCATTGTCTATACTGTATAACTATTAGAGCATAAACTCTGACTACCATGTAAGTGAAATAACTGCATATACAAACACACTTAGATATAATCATAACCTTGCTTCACATTGTGGTGGGATCAACCCCTTTAGACCATCCTAATTTCTCTTGCAGTGGTGCCCTCATTTTGGTGTATGTATCTTTACCAATCAATTTCTCTTTTAATTCTCTGATCCTTTGCTCGCCTTTTCATTTTCATATTTTTCATCCAATAGATGGTTGCCTGGGTTTTCAGTGTAGTTTTTTTTGGTACAGAAGAGGCCTTGAAAGGCCTATAATCTCATATTTCATTTTCAGTGTAGTTGTAGCCGGGCACAATTCTGCAACATGGATAGATGCTTGACGAGTAATATGTTATGTTGCTGAAGTGGGAGGACAGAGCCCTAACATAATTCATATAGTTGTTTAGCTGTGTTTTCTTTGAGTCTGGCTTGACTGAAAACTCTGTGGGCTTGTTACTTTTGAGATGTTTTGCATGTCTAGTTTATGTCGGTGACTTAGAGATGCGAAACGGGGGAGGGGGTCCATCAGAATCAGCGATCTAAATCGAACAACGTACTGTTTCGCCAAAATTCATGATCTTAGGCAGGAAATTTAATCTAAAACAGTTAATGTGACAAATGGATTTTAACAAGATTTGTAACGATAGTCATAAACAATCCCAATCTCGAATAATTTAATCACAATATATCATTTTCGCAAGTTCTAAGATCAATATCAAGTTTAAGCAGTCACATGTTTAGATACTCTCAACTCACAATTATAATGTACGCAGTGAATATAAGAGAAGAGTTTAGAGATGTATTATTCATGCAATTAACTAACAAAATAAAATCAACAGAAAAATAAGGGACGAAAGAAAACAAAACCTTCGTCGATCTGAATAGACTCGACGTGAGAGACCTCTGGAGGTGGTGCAACGACAACGGTGAACTGAACGACGATGATGAGACAGAGATCCGATGACGACGAGTGCGACAGTGTTTAACTGATGGCGACGCGGCGACAGGATGAGAGCGGTGCAATGTCCCACGGGTAGTCGTCGGGTCGATGCAGGTGACGGGCGTCGGGACGAGGCCGACAGCGGCGTCAAGACGAAATAAACGGCGGTTTGAAGAGTGGAGGAGGACGGAGGGAAATCAATGACTGTTGAGGTGATTCTGACGACTTACGGAGGCGGAAACAACGGCTGCTCGAAAGTAAGGAGAGCAAGGAGAGATCGGTAGCTTGTGAAAGAGAAGGGATGGGGGAAGCAAGGTTGTGAGATGAACAGATGAACGGGAGAAGATAGAGATTTGACGACTAGAAGAAGAGGAACAGATATTGGCCTAGGGTTTCACACCCGAGGCCTAGGATTTACACCCAAATTAAACCAACTCAAATTTTATTTCAATTTTTAATAATTCATTGATTTTCAATAGTCTCATACAACCTTATTTATAAAAAAACTACATGCACACAACGTGCAATAAAAATAAAAACAAACAACAATCCCTCAAATTACTCAACTAAAATTAAACTAAATTTCAAAATTCAAAATTCAAATTTTAAATTTCAAATTTCAAATTTCAAATCTCAAAATTTAAAATTCAAAATTTAAAATTTAAAATTTAAAAAAATATCAACTAATCAAATATTATAATTTTTTGTCCTCATTATTCTCCCTTGGTGGGAGAAAACTCGACTCCGTCGAGTTAGCTGCAGAAACTTATCATCTTCAATATACTTTGTCTGTATCTTAATCTGCTGTCAGTTATTTTTTTGTATCTCAAATCATTAGCTAGATTGCATTGTAAATTCACCATCTAAAATATTATTAAAATTCACTGATGTATGGATGAATATATAGAAGTGGAGTAAAGTGAAAGAACTCTCATAAATAAAAGGTTAGGATCAGGCTTATATTAGTGTACTGCCAATAATATTGTAAACTGTTTAATCACTCAATAGTGAAAATAGAACTATGACCAAATCAATAAATGTTGCTATTAATTAGTTCAAGAGTTGGAAAAGCTCATAAATATCATGTCAAATCTTAAACAACCATAAATAAACTGTATTGGACAAATCCGAACCATCTAAAATATCAGCATTAATAGTTTTAAATTAGGTTCTGACTCAATATCATACATTTCAGTTAGCAATGTATTTATTCAAATTAGATCACTGATTCCCCAATATATGATCAATGCAAAATAAAAAAATGATGTAAATCAACTCAAATGATTATGATGAAATGCAGACTCAAACAATATGATCAGATGTAACTCAACGAAGTGTCTAAAATGCATGACGTCCTCTATCAAATGGAATAATTAGGTGTTCCTTCGTTAATATGCATAACAAATTTTCTATTTTTGCAGTGATAAGGAGGAACGTGCAAACACATGCATGACGAATGCGTGTTTTTGCGTGTTTAACATGAGAGAGAATGAAAACACTCGTGCTCAAACTTATATCCCTAATCACTATTTAACATGAGAGAGAATGAAAACACTCGTGCTCAAACTTATATCCCTAATCACTATATATTCCCAAAAAGGATCAGTGTATGTGTGAGTGACTATCGTGCTCAAACTTATATCCCTAATCACTATATATTCCCAAAAAGGATCAGTGTATGTGTGAGTGACTATTGGGACAATGCATGAGGGTTTGACATCTAATATGGTAGCCATCTCACGATGCTTAATTTGGGATTCAATTTTCATACAGATATCTGAGTGACTCTAGGAACCAAATCAGGAACGTGTTAGGTGTCATATTAGTCCAAGAGGACTTCGTGGGGAATATCAACAACGTTTTCAGTCACTGAAGTGAATTCAGGAGTTGGAGTTTCAATTTCAGGAACAGCTTCAGGGATAACATCAGTGAACTCCGTGATCAAAAGGGGTAGCTTGAGGAATAGTCGGAGTGTTGTCATTGCATAAAAATTCAATTAACTTCACAATTGCAGAGTAGTTTCCGAATGAACGGAAGTGCATGGTTCTTCGATTATACTATCCTGGATTTTCTTGTCAGAGTAAGATTCTGTCAAAAATACGGTCTGGTTAACGGTTTCCTTAATAATAGATTTTGATTTCGTTATAGACGGCTTATTAATTCTAACTCTGAACGGAGTTGTACAGACGGAAGCAACGTGCCCATATCCTTGATAATTGGAACACTGCATTATTGGGCTAAGTTTGGAGAGAGATCTCTCTGACTTCTGGCCATTGGGATTGACTCTAGACTGGGAAGAACTAGGGTTAGATCGACTTAGAAGCTGACTAGATGTATTGGCACGGGAAGACTGGGAGGGATGGGTTTGAAAATTCTGAGCCCTATGAGATTGATGGAATTTGGTTTTATCTAAATCTTGAACTAAGGCGTAAGCTCTCTCAAGGGTGTTTACTCCTCTAGCACAAAGTTCGGTTTGGAGGTCGCTTCTTAATCCAGTTCTAAATTTTGATAAGACTTTCATCGGTGTTTCTGATTCAATGGTGCTGCATCGAGTAAAATAATTCATCAAATTGAGCAACGTACTCTTTTGTAGATTTGGTTCCCTGAGTAAGACAATGTCACTTATCTAGCAATCTATAAATAAACGATGACGGGAGATATTTTCGTTTCAGTTCGTCGGTCATTTCTCGCCAAGAAAAAATTGGTAACTCACCTCTAATATGCCTTATCATTTTAAAGTTGGACCAATATTAACAGGCGGGTCCAGTGAGTTTTATTGTGACAAACTTGACTTTCTGGGATTCCGTCAGGACGTACCAATTGAAGTAGCGATCCATGCTCTTCAGTCAGTCAAAGAAAGTTTATGGATCAAGCTTACCATCAAAGGTTGGTGGCTCAGGCACAAGTTGAGGCGGGGTCGATGAACGATGTACCCATGACCTTGCGGTGGGTATCCATAGCCTTGACCTCGTGGTGGAGTTGTAACCCGTGTTTCTTCTAACCTAGCACGTCTTTCGTTGGTGTTATTCAGGGTCTCGCGGATAGCTCTACTCTCATGTGTTAAGTTACTTATTTGTCCGTTTAACTCAATGATTTGCTAAGTACGGAGAATTCGGGATTTGTACTGCCTGACATGCTTGACTCACTAGTTGACTCACTTGACTCTCCTAAATTGATAGGGAAGACCTGCGCGAGTGGGCATGCACTAACAACTAGATGAGATGAATGATGTGCACAAACAGCTAAATGAGATGAATAAGATTTTTTTTAATATCAAATAAAAGACTCAACTAATCTAAAAAATAAAAATAAAAATTTTCTACCTTAGAACCATGCTCTGATATCAAAAATGATGCGAAACGAGGGAGGGGGTCCATCGGAATCAGCGATCTAAATCGAACAATGCACCGTTTTGCCAAAATTCATGATCTTAGGCAGGAAATTTAATCTAAAACAGTTAATGTGACAAATGGATTTTAACAAAATTCATGATCTTAGGCAGGAAATTTAATCTAAAACAGTTAATGTGACAAATGGATTTTAACAAGATTTGTAACGATAGTCATAAACAATCCATTTAATCTAAAACAGTTAATGTGACAAATGGATTTTAACAAGATTTGTAACGATAGTCATAAACAATCCTAATCTCGAATAATTTAATCACAATATCAATTATCATTTTCGCAAGTTCTAAGATCAATATCAAGTTTAAACAGTCACATGTTCAGATACTCTCAACTCACAATTATAATGTACACAATGAATATAAGACAAAAGTTTAGAGATGTATTATTCATGCAATTAACTAACAAAGTGAAATCAACAGAAAAATAAGGGACGAAAGAAAACGAAACCTTCGTCGGTCTGAACAGACTCGACGTGAGAGACATCTGGAGGTGGTGCGATGACAACGGTGAACTGAACAACGATGATGAGGCGGAGATCCGATGAAGACGAGTGCGACAGTGTTGAACTGATGACGACGCGGCGACGGGATGAGGGTGGTGCGATGTCCCACAGGTAGTCGTCGGATCGATGCAGGTGGCGGGCGTCGGGACGAGGCCGGCAGCGGCGTCAAGACGAAATAAACGGCGGTTCGAAGAGTGGAGGACGGAGGGAAATCAACGACTGTTGAGGTGGTTCTGACGGCTTACTGATGCGAAAACAACGGCTGCTCGAAGGTAAGGAGAGCAGGGAGAGATCGACAGCTTGTGGAAGAGAAGGGGTGGGGGCAACGAGGCTGTGAGATGAACAGATGAACGGGAGAAGATAGAGGTTTGACGGCTAGAAGAAGAACATGTATTGACCTAGGGTTTCACACCGGAGGCCTAGGTTTCACACCTAAATTAAACCAACTCAAATTTTATTTTAATTTTCAATAATTCATTGATTTTCAATAGTCTCATACAACCTTATTTATAAAAAAAACTATGTGCACACAACGTGCAATAAAAATAGAAACAAAAATAGTCTCATACAACCTTATTTATAAAAAAAACTATGTGCACACAACGTGCAATAAAAATAGAAACAAACAACAATCCCTCAAATCACTCAACTAAAGCACACAACGTGCAATAAAAATAGAAACAAACAACAATCCCTCAAATCACTCAACTAAAATTAAACTAAACTTCAAAATTCAAATTTCAAATTTCAAAATTCAAAATTCAAAATTTAAATTTAAAATTCAAATTTTAAAAATATATCAACTAATCAAATATTGTCTTTTCTTGTCCTAAGTAGGGTATGTTTTTACTAAACATGGTGTCCAACTTGAATGATGTGATGTAAACATACTTTTATACTCTAACCGAAAGCTAGGAATTGTTTTCTGGGTCATCACAAAAAGGATATTGTGCAGTAGTTTCATGAGCTGTCTCTCAGTAGGGTGAGATGGAGAATGGTGATCTTAATCCTTTTGTCTACACTTTTC